GTTGTTAACCAATGTCATAAAACAGTATGTGTACTACTGTTTAATGAGAAACTATTTGTTCTGTAAACCTTCACCTGAAGTACAATTAAAAAAAAAAAAAAAAAAAGCAAGTCTGAGGTAAAATTCAGGGTAATTTTGGCCAATTAAATTTTTTTTTTCACAACTGCAGTTTGATAAGGATGTGGGGGCTCATCCTGAAGACTTAAGATTCTTAGATGAACTGATAATCTACATTTCTAAACCAAAGAAAGAAGAAAAATAACACGACAACAAAACTGCTATTGTGGGAGACAGAAGGCAACTAACCCTAAATTTATCTAGTCTGGTTATCAATGTAGATCACATTTACCAAAAAAGCATTCACCTTTTAGCTTTTCCTGAACTTACAGCTTCTAAGAAAACTAAATGCTAGAGCTTCCAGTCAATTGATTATGCTATTAATATTGAGCCTTTAGGCATCACTCATATTTAAGGCATTCTCTTAGCATTTTCAGTACATGAAGTGAATTAAATCCAAATAAAAAAGAGTAGTAACTCGCGGGTATATGTTTGTCCATTTTCAGGGCAGCCTTGTCTGTGGAACCCATTCTTGCCTAACTTAGAGGAGAGCTACTGCGTTCAAAAATACCCTTAGAATCGGGTTGATGGAGGAGTTTATCACCAACTTATTAAATGTTATTGACCAACGTCAAGTTTATTTAGTCACTTAACAATCCCATGTTGTTAACTAGATACACTAGAGAGAATCATGAGAAAACTCTGAAGTCTATGAGATTATATTTTTGTTTGTTGGTTGGTTGGTTTTGTTTTTTTTACAGTCAAGAAGTGGAGGAGGTTGTTTATTCACGAACAGAGAGTGTTTTATTTCAGTTTTCAATAGGAAAATAGCTAAAATCTGGGTTGAATTTTGACATTATCTGGTGCAATGATTTTTACATATTACTGCTCACTATCTGTGCCCATTAACTCTTGAAGGTTATTTAAGCATCAATGTAAAGTTTTCAAATCCAAAAATCTTAGGTATTCAAAACTATTTTCTGTGGTGAATTATAAATGTTACTTATATAAACATCTTTTTTTTACTTTTTTTTTTAATTGTACTTTAGGTGAAGGCTTACAGAACAAATAGTTTCTCATGAAACAGTAGTACACATATTGTTTTATGACATTGGTTAACAACCCCACAACATGTCAA